TACTAAGGTACCTGCACACCAAATTTCAAGCATCTAACTTAAGCGGTTTAGATTTTTCATACAAAAGGATTTTTCCGCTAATTCCCGTTCCCGTGGTAATTTCGGGAATTCCTTTCTTAGTGCACCTCTACGGTACCTAAACTACGTCCCTTCCAAATTTCAAGTGCCTACGTTTAGCCGTTTAGGCTGTGCGTTGATCTGTCAGTCAGTCAGTCAGTTTCTCCTTTTATATCTAATAAATATATAAAAGGAGAAACTGACTGACTGACTGATAAACTGCGTAAGATAGACGCTTGAAATGTGGCATGCAGGTACCTTAGTAAACTTAAAGCTTAGTTACAACAGGATATTGCAAAATTCCTACGGGAAGGGGAGTTAACCGCTGAAGATAGATGAAGGGGGTAAAACAGGATCCACGCGTACGAAGTCGCGGGCGGCCGCTAGCTATCATCTATCTAAATATATAAATAAAAATGAATTGATGTTCGTTAGTCTGTCTAAATATATAAAAGGAGAAACTGACTGACTGACTGACAGATCAACGCACAGCCTAAACGGCTAAACGTAGGCACTTGAAATTTGGAAGGGACGTAGTTTAGGTACCGTAGAGGTGCACTAAGAAAGGAATTCCCGAAATTACCACGGGAACGGGAATTAGCGGAAAAATCCTTTTGTATGAAAAATCTAAACCGCTTAAGTTAGATGCTTGAAATTTGGTGTGCAGGTACCTTAGTAAACTTAAAGCTTAGGTACAACAGGATATTGTAAAATTCCCACTGGAACGGGAGTTAGCGGGAAAAAACATATGTATGAAAAAATCTAAACTGCGTAAGATAGACGCTTGAAATGTGGCATGCAGGTACCTTAGTAAACTTAAAGCTTAGTTACAACAGGATATTGCAAAATTCCTACGGGAAGGGGAGTTAACCGCTGAAGATAGATGAAGGGGGTAAAACGGGATCCACGCGTACGAAGTCGCGGGCGGCCGCTAGCTATCATCTATCTATCTATATAAATAAAAATGAATTGATGTTCGTTAGTCTGATTATAACTCGAGAACGACTGGGCCGATTGAGCTGATTTTGGTTTTAAAATTTAATGTTTGTCGTAGTCCAGGTCTAAACGGTGAGTAAATACGCGCGCGATATTGTTTTTCTGTGACAGACAAAATTCCACGCGGGCGAAGCCGCGGGCGGAAAGCTAGTAAAACTATAATTTCCTATTAAGGCTCTTGACGTTTTATTTTCGCGACAAATAATGGCCTAAGTCATATTCCAAGCTCAAAAACCAATTGTCCAAAACTCATTAAATGATTAGGTGAAAAAGTGAATAACGTTTTTTGAATAATTAATCGCAAACAGTTTCGTTTCACTGTAGTTCAAATTTGAATGTACGCAGTAAATTATGTTCGGCTGTAAATCGCGACGTGAAACGAAACGTCATCGTGTGATAGCAGCGCCGCGGCGCAACCAAACGCCGGCATCAATACCGAGCGCGCGGCCCGGGCTGCAGCCGCCAGACCACCCAGCTATCGCGCCGCGCTCAGTTGCAAGCTCATTCAACATGTCGCATCTGTGTTTAAAAATGTCTGTGCACCAAAGACGTATGCAATTCTGCCTGAAAATCTCTTGTTTGGTAGTCCTTGCAACTGTAATGATCTGTGTTCAGATTGTGCGTATGGACAACTTGTAAAAAAATTTCGCGACTATATCGTGTGCGTACGGCCTATCACGGCCTACTTATTTCGTGTGATTAGTGGAAGCAGATTTTGAGACTATGAAGTAATAGTGTACTGAAAAAATGGCGCACTCACATCCGTTTTATAGCAGAAGATATAGAGGTACTTTTTTATTACAATTGTAAAAGTTTATTTCATTTTATTTGAGGCACAGTTTGTGTTTTCACTTTTAGTTATTATTTAAAAATTACTTAAGTATAATATAGGTAGGTATAATATTTTTTACATCGTTGTACATTTTATTATTTTTTTTTTAATTTATTATGCTCTGATCATGATTATTTTGTTTGCCTTAGGCCATCATTACACGTGTGATCCAATGTTTTGCAGAAAGAGTTATCGGGATTTCAGTAATAATTATAAATTTAAACCATTTCTTCGTAATAAGTGCTCTTTATATCCCAGCCGGGTCTTCTGATATCCGTTAAGATTGCGTATTATTTGGAGGCAGCGAAGTCCCTCTGAAAAGCAAGGGTTCCCCCTAATGTTTTTCGACTCACTCCGGCTCGTTGAGATAGTAAAATTTCTATAGTATTCAGACTCCACCTGTTGCCCGTTTGTTATTGAAGGCAACGCTTTTGTTCAGCATAAATTTTAGTTCGGTTCCCGGGCATTAGTGGCAGCGCAACATGGAGGGCATTTAAAAAAAAATGGAATGTCAAGGGTCGAACCTGCGCAGCCTAGATAAAGTGCATGCTCCGGTTCCCGCGTACTACGCATCAAACTGCAATCAATATGCCCGGGTCGCCATAGATTAATACAGGACGGGTAAATAGATGGGGTGAGAAACATCGCCGTGCGCAACTCGTGTTATATTAATAAAGCATGTACCTACACTATCCATCGTCCCACTTGCCACTTAGTATTGATTGGATTTGGAATTATTTGCCGATGGTTTTTGCGCAGGTGACGACGCTCTGTATACACATTTTTGTGTTTGGCTGGGTTATAAGTGCCCAGACGAAGGCTATTGATTTTTTATTAAGTCCTCTAAACATTTCAATGACAACGAAGGCACATTGTTGCGATTAATCGCTTTGTTCGTAATACGAGGAGTTAAAAGTTAAGAGTTCTGGTCGGATACACTTAAACATCGTTTCCCTTTAAATTACATCGTAACGGGTTCGCCGACATACATCCCCGTTTTGACCGTGACACGGTCGATTGGAGTTCAAGGTTTCTTTTATGGGGGTCTTCGTTTATCAACAAGTGGGTGTAAGCGCGAAGTAGTAGTAGAATTATTGAAAAAAAAAAAACTCAACTGCGTAAAAATGAAATGTAAAGATAGAAACAAGACAAAGTGTTCACAAATGCAGTCGGAGGCATTAATTTTGGAACATCGTTAAACAAATAAAATGGATTAAAATAAAGATTAGTCAACAATTACATAAGCTCAGTGTCAAATGTCTAGTTTACGAGAAATTGAGTCTGATGGCAGAAAATGATTTATTGTTCGCGTGACATCATCGTATAGTTAAAGTAAAATCCAAAAGGCTGAAGAGTCGAAAATCGCATAATTTAGTGGTTCAAACACAAAAACAATTGAGTAATTATAACTCTCAATTAGACCATTAGACAATATGGCGTCTGACGAAAAAAAAGGTTCTGGGCCTAGCCTCCATACAATTTGGGACATCAACTTAATAATTTTACTTTAATATTTGACTAAACACAAGTTTTAGAAACTAAATTAAAAATTATTATACAGGGTGGAATTTTGTAATGCCACATGGAGGGAAAGTACTCTTAATATTGTACTTAGACAGAATTTTTTTCTCAAAGAAAACATTCCTTTATTTTTGAAAATAAATAGAACTGTTTAAAAACAATACAGAAAAGGTATTTTAGTTACAAGCAATACTTATTTAAGTATGGCAATAATTGCAAGGCGATTACAAAAAATGCGTTTTGTTGTCACGCTTTTGTATTATTTATAAAAAAATAAAAAATAAAGAACAAAATGAATCGGTAACTAATTTATTTTGTTTTGGTTTCACTTATATTTTCATGACAAAAAATAATGTATATTTGCTTACAAACATGTTTTCATTGAATATTTTATGACGATCAAAACGTGGTTGATTTTATTGAGCTCCAAAGTCAAAATACTATGTCATCTGACAGCGAAAAAGTAAACATGGCTGACGTTTCCATATAATGTTCCACGGGCTTTCCGTTGTTTTGTCTTTTTGTTTACGCCTGAACTTTACCGCGATACCGAATTGACATCAGCTGGAATGAAAATGGAGCGTCAATGGAGTTTGCGTGCTTCGAAGACTGACAAATTGGCGCAAAAATACTTCCATATAAGGTTGCATGAACGTCCGTCCACCTACACCCGTAGAAAATCGTTGGCCAAATCTCTTTTGCTATTTTAAATCTTTTTTTATTTTCTGGTACAAGGGTTCACTTAAATATTAGGGATAAATGGTGAAAACGGGCACAAGATTCACAAAAACATGTTTTTTATTTGTTTTTTATTTTAATTCAACGATGTTTTCCTAATATTTTTTTTAACTCGGTATTTACCTACATGTTTTAAAAAGGTGTCCTTTTTGGCCAAATGGACAAAATTTCAAGCCAGGAGAGTTAAAATAAAAAATATTGCCAGCCTAACAGTCATCAAGTGCAAAATTATCCTTGTTGTCGCACTGTAATTAAATACATTTTAAATTCTACATCAATTAAGGTCATAGATCATAGAATTGTTCATTTATTTACGTATACCCGCGAACGAAACAAAAAGAAAAAACGTATTAGGTACCCGCGTTTTAATAATATGTCTATTATAGGAAAGTGATCTTGATGATCTTCCATTTGCTCGTTATTGACCGCGGTGCGCAGTACATTTTTGTAAAATGTTCTGCGCGCCCGAAGAATACGCGGCGATTTGTCGCGCTAGGGCGTTTTTATGGGCTGAGAGTATGTATTTTGTTTGAACTTTTTTTTAAACCAAGTGTTTTATAAAAAACTTTTTGAAAAGAAGCCCTAATATTTTTCCACGAGTGAAGGAATACTCCCTCGTGCCTCACGTGGGCACGTGGCTCACGAAACACAAAAGGCGTAGAAGTTCCGAAGTTTTCATTGGAAATCAAGTGATATGCGGAAAAGTATACTTCAGATTGTCTTGCGATGATCGTAAATTCGCTATCGTGAGTTTGGATTAACACGTCGTTGAATGGTTTTTTTAGTTTATTTGGTGCATAATTTAAGTAAAACTTTGCAGTCGAGTTGTTTTATTAATATAGTGATGTTTTTGCAGACGGGCTGCCGCCTCGTGAGCCCACGCCGTCATCCACTCCCACTCACTCATCCCGACACATGCCAACCATGTGTCGGGAGGCGGCACAGAGATCCTTCTGCCCCCGAGGAAACGCTTGCACGTTCGCACACTCTGAGGAAGAAATGATAAGGTAAGGGTCACTTTTGTTACTACAGAAACAATACGCTGCAGGGCAGCTGCGATTTCGAGGTCAATAGGGGAATTATACACGACGGTTCCCTTCTGTGTTAGCTTACGCAAATTTTTAAGTACTTGTCCAAAACGCGAAACTCTTTTAGCTACCAGAAATAATAAGCGAAACAAGTTTCGAAAGCAGTTGAAAAATGAGTTTTGAAGATTCTGCGGCTTCTGAATCCGCAAAAATTCGTTTTGAGTTTTGTTGTTTTGCGAAATAAGAATTTTTTTATGCGTAACAAGGCATTTGCCCGCAAAATTGTTAGAAATTAATATAAAAAAGATTGCTTGACCTTTTTACTGCTTGAAATATTCGATGACTGGAAACAATAGTTACGAGTAACAAAGAAAAGAAATGTATTATATTTATTCATTATTCAGAGCCGTATAAAAATCTTATCAATTTTGAAATGTTGCGGTAGCTGACAGATTATACTTCCTAATTTTATTAATTCAATGTTACTGTTGTCTTTTTCTTTTTATTTTATCATTTATTTATTATAATTTATTGTATTGCTTTGTATGTTCGAATTGTGCACGGGATTTATTTTCAATGTTTTTCCTTTGACCCTTTCACGTTTTCATTAGGTACTTAAATGCATTGCAGCCTTTTAGAAGCTGGGGCTGCACCCTAATGCACTTTCCTTTTTCGACAGTAAGCCCCTAAAATTCGGCACCGTTAGGGAGGAGCCCCTTTGTAATTACTGGTACTTATACATATGTAACCGTCTTTAGTAAACAGCTCTCCTTTTTAATACAAAAAAAAATCAGTATCATATCAGTCGTTTTAATGGTTATTTGTTATTACGACACACATTGACCGATCAGGCTACCTGCAGTATATGCATAGCGAACTAGTTGTGTTGCAAATTGTAAATTAATTTGTCTGCATACAGTGTAGTCGCGATTTTTAGAGCTGATTTTTCAATCGTCGTATAACTTTTAACTGAAGAATAAGTTTGGCACATTGACAGTTTCAGTATGGAAAATATGTCAAAATGACAAGTTTATTCTTCAGTTAAAAGTTAACTGATGATTGAAAAATCGGCCCTTAGTCGAAGGAAATTTTATAATAAAATAAATCTTTGTTTAAATATTATTTTAAGTAAAAAACAGCAAATGCAAGATATAACAAGGGTGTTTAATTACTTTGGGTTCGATTCCCACGGTTTAATTTTTGGTAATGCTATAATTGGTGTAAACACTCAGGTGCTGAGCTAAGATATTCAAGTAAATTCGGGTTACAATCAATAGCTTATGGTAGGACAGTGGCGCGGTTCGTTCGTTTCAGCCGAATGACGTCCACTGCTGGACAAAGGCCTCCTTCAAGCTTTTCCACAATGAACAGTCCTGCGCTGCCCGCACCCAGGCTCTTCCCGCGACCTTCACCAGATCTTCGGTCCACCTAGTAAGAGGCCTGCCCACGCTACGTCTTCCAGCCCGTGGTCGCCACTCGAGAACTTTTCTGCCCCAACGGCCATCGTCTCTACGAGCTATGTGCCCTGCCCACTGCCAGTGACGCGGTTAATGATCTTAAAAGTGAGGCGTGCTGGGTTCAATTCCTAGTCTAGTCAATATAATTAGATGATCATTGATATTTTGAAAGTACTTAGGCAGACCGCAATAAGTTAGGCTGTGCGTTGCTTGTGAATGCTAGCTAGTTTCAGTATTGTAGACTTGTACATGTGTCTGTTTGCTGCGCGAACCTTCTACTTTTTGTTTATTTCCCTCCTGTGTTGCTAATGCTCTTAATCTTATGTATTCTATATTTTATTTATTGGTAGTTCCTAACTTGCAACTTTTAGCATTAACTACAAATTGTTTTAAGAAAACAAAACAGTACAATTCTAGATGATGTCAGAGTAGAAGCTTGACACCTCTGAGGTGACTCAGTTAATACTGTCCTAAGACAAATATACAGGGTGGCCCAGAAGAAAATTCACTTTTGAAAATTCAAGGAAACGAAAACTGTATATTTTTATAGAACTCTAACTATTGCAATTAAAAGGATTTGCAATTCATTTTTAACACAGAAATAATAAAATAGGCTCAATGTATCTCAAAATATTGCCTGCACCTTCATTTTGCGTCGGCGCTTAAATTCGCGGAGCTCTCAAAATGGCGGACGACAGCTAATTAGCACACTCAAGGGTTTGATCCCCTCCGATTGTATGCAGAAGGGTTCGATCCCCACCCCGATCGGGAGATAAAAGGGTTGATTTCAGTTAGGTTGCTGTGATTTATTTTTGAAAGGCTTCTTTTCCACGTAGGTTATTGCATGTCTGTGTGTATTTATTCACAATCTCACACTACACGAATGAAGTTATTTTTGTGTGTAAGCAGCACGCTTAGCTTTTTTGTTTGTAATATTTTTTGTGATGTTGGCGATACAATATTTTGATCACAGCGAATATTATTTTCAGTTTTACTGTTTTAGCGAAAGTAATGCATGATATCAGCCCAGCACAGTAGAAGAAAATTTGTTAAGTAATTTATGTAATTCTTCTATTATGTGGTCATGCCGGTGTTCGTTGTTGTAATTTGCTATTCGTTCGTTATATTAGTTTTTTTTTTAACTTTATTATGTTAGTTCTTCTTTTGTTCGTTTATTTTTTATTTACATTTTTTATTTAATTCACAGTTACCAACAAAGGAAAAACAATTTAGGGAAAACAACATACAATCGCTGATCTTCTCGATAAATAAATAGGTGATAGGAACATTAGTTCTAGAATTAATTAGTTCTTCAACACTAATATTGTAAAGAGAAAAGATTTGATCGTTTGTTTGTTTTATTGCTTTGGCTTTAAAACTACTGGACCTATTTGGAAAATTCATTCGCCTTTAGAACCCTAACTTATTACTAATAAACACAAGCGATAGAATATTAAAAAAAAATTAGGGAACCGCATGAAAACTTCCATAATGTAATCTTTTATTTGAAAATAAATTATTATAATAATCTTGATAAGATGTAGGTTAGAAACAATTGCTGTGCGTTAGTCTCGCCAAAACTTGGTACTTTGGTTTGAAATGATTGTTGTAGTAGTCCAGGGAAGGTTTGAACGACGAGAAAACATGGGAAAGTGATTGATTTCCTCGCGTGCGAAGTCGCGGGCACAGCTAGTGTTTGAATAAATGAGTTATTTATCCCTTTTTCCGCATTCATCACCTCATGTCACATATTAATTGACTGGGCGGTACTAAATTCGCCGGACAGTTAGTGTTCTATATTAAATAGAAATAGCTTAAGACCCAAGGTTAGATTAATAAAGCTACTAAACTGGACCTAAGGAAAACAGGATAGTTTTTATCCCGGTTTATGGAACGAGATCCGTTGACCACAAAACTGAGGTGGAATTGTGTAAAGCAATCGTTATCACTTGACAGTTCATAACGCACGATTATTCTGTCAAACGCTTTGTTTATCTGACTTTATCGTACGTTATGAACTGTCAAATGATTACGATTGCTTTATCAATTCCACTTCTGGTATCGTCAACAGCACCTGAGGATCATAATCGTGAACTTCCACCGTCTCCATCTTCCAGATACAGAGGAATTCCTAGCAATCACGTCGCCGGCAACGGGAATATGCCCTTCATGCCCGGCCCGCCGATGCCCATGATTCCCGCCGGGATCCCCATCCCGCCGCCGCCGCTGTACTCGCGGTACCCGCCGCCTCACCCACACCATCGCGCCGATTACCAGATTCCGCGTAAGTACATAATTTGAATTTATAAATAAATAACTGTGTTCTACTCATTTATGTTACCCTTTCAACTTGAATTTGATATAAGATTTTAAACTTTCGCGTTCCATTTCAACTAAAATAGTATGACACGGGTCTTAAAGTGAGCCGCCAGTCTGCTTGTGGCCACGGCTGCAGTATCGCAGCCGAAACGTCAAGCCGTGAGTACATAATGTAACTCATTAATAAACGTCGCGTTAAGACCCGTGTCGTAGTCTCGTTTTCACCATAAATCCCAAATTTTTAAGTACCCTTAAGGTGACAAATAACAGTAATTTTGTGCTCATATGGGCCACTTAAAAATTAGGGATTGATGGTGAAAACGGGCATTAGGTAGTACCTAATTTTTAGTTCAATTTAATATTTTCGCATTATACCTCAATGGCGTGGTCACATTGACGTGCTATTTAGCTATTGCCACACACCTTTCAGTGATACTACTTGGTGTTAATGCTAACAGCATTATGTTACAAAATTATGCTGTCGTATAATGTTTACCTAGTCTAGAAGCTATAAAACAGTCTAAATAGCTGAGTTTAAATGAAATCTAGTATTATTTATCATGTCATATCACATACCTACCAGAACGAAGAACTGGTAGATTTAGTCTGAAAAATAGCAAACATATTTCGAGCCCTGTTTTTATCTCTAGTCACGAAGTAGATCATTCATTATCTTGATTAGAAGTAATAATGTGAAACAAACTATTATGCCTCTAATAGCAAATTAATTTAAATAGACTTACAGTTTCTCTCTTCTTAATTTTCTAAATTATTTGCTTCTAACTACTAATTAATAGCCGTTAATTTGACCGCGTCTTATATTATTAGCATTTAAGTATTATTATCAATAACGTTTTACATAGAAATAAGAACTTTACTTGTCTTTAAAAAATATGTAATAAGGGGCCGTTCAAGTATTACGTAAGCAGATTTCTTACCATTTTTGACCCCCCCGCCCCCCTTGTCATCAAAAGTAGGCAAAGCACCAACCCCCTCCCCCTATGCTTACGTAAACATTTTTAGTTAAAAATGTTTTTTATATTGTCATTTTTAAAATAGGAAAATTCATGAAAATATTAGGTTTAACTGATATACATAGAGTAAGGGACAAAAAATATAATCAGAAATAAAGAACATAACAAACATTAATTGCATCAATTATGCATCAACATAAACACAAATGATAACTTTCAATGCTGACAATACGTTAAGTATCCAAACAAAACACGCTCTCAAATTTCAATGGGCAGTGTCGGCACGAGAGTAAATTATTAGACAAGTGAATAGCGCACGGTAATTTCCCTAATGTGCGGTAATTCCCCTAATCAGTTCTCAAAGCGAGTGCCTACGCATATGTTTATTTGCGGGAATCCCCGAAAAAACGTAAATAACTAATGATGACGTAATCACCATCTAGACCCCCCTACCCCCCATGTCATCCAAAATAAGCAAAACAGAGACCCCCCCACCCCCCCTTGGTGCTTACGTAATACTTGAACGGCCCCTAATTAAGTTTATTAATTAATAATTAAAATTTTCACTTTACAATAAAATAAAGTAAAAGATAAATGTTATTTAAAATGTTATATTATTATGTGCACAATAGTGCACATAAACTATACTTACGAGCAAAAGTATGGAATCACACTCTTGTGCTTTGTTCGGAGACATCTCAAGAACTGGATGCCTATGGATTTATCTATGGTATCAATTGAAAATATATTTTAATATTGCCTGTAAAATGTTACCATTTTTGTTTATCTTCTATTAGTCATTTAGTTATTACGATCATTCGGAACAAATAGGGTGATTCCATACTTTTGCTCGCGAGTGTATTTTACGCAGGTAAGTAACGGATAATATTAGATTTAATAACAATTTCGTTAACCCACTATATCGTAAATAAAGCCATAGATCATTTCATGAACGCAGTCGCGGGAATGCAACGAATTAGGGTGGCCATATATCGTGTGTCGACCAGGAAACTCTCGTATGACTTAACTTTTAAAATAAATTATTTTGTAAATAAAGCGATGATAGATCATTTCATGAACGCAGTCGCGGGAATGCAATGAGTTAGGGTGGCCATATATCGTGTGTGGACCAGGACCTTCCCGTATGATTTAACATTTAAAATAAATTATTTTGTAAATAAAGCGATGATAGATCATTTCATGAACGCAGTCGCGGGAATGCAATGAGTTAGGGTGGCCATATATCGTGTGTGGACCAGGACCTTCCCGTATGATTTAACATTCAAAATAAATTATTTTGTAAATAAAGCGATGATAGATCATTTCATGAACGCAGTCGCGGGAATGCAATGAGTTAGGGTGGCCATATATCGTGTGTGGACCAGGACCTTCCCGTATGATTTAACATTCAAAATAAATTATTTTGTAAATAAAGCGATGATAGATCATTTCATGAACGCAGTCGCGGGAATGCAATGAGTTAGGGTGGCCATATATCGTGTGTGGACCAGGACCTTCCCGTATGATTTAACATTCAAAATAAATTATTTTGTAAATAAAGCGATGATAGATCATTTCATGAACGCAGTCGCGGGAATGCAATGAGTTAGGGTGGCCATATATCGTGTGTGGACCAGGACCTTCCCGTATGATTTAACATTCAAAATAAATTATTTTGTAAATAAAGCGATGATAGATCATTTCATGAACGCAGTCGCGGGAATGCAATGAGTTAGGGTGGCCATATATCGTGTGTGGACCAGGACCTTCCCGTATGATTTAACATTCAAAATAAATTATTTTGTAAATAAAGCGATGATAGATCATTTCATGAACGCAGTCGCGGGAATGCAATGAGTTAGGGTGGCCATATATCGTGTGTGGACCAGGACCTTCCCGTATGATTTAACATTCAAAATAAATTATTTTGTAAATAAAGCGATGATAGATCATTTCATGAACGCAGTCGCGGGAATGCAACGAGTTAGGGTGGCCATATTATATCGTGTTTCTACGAGGACCTTCCCGTATGACTTAACTTAACTTTTTAAATAAATTACTTTGATTAGTGAACACAGTTTAGATTTAGAACTCATAGTCATTTATAGTTTAACACTACATCATTTTGCTAGAATGGACGTTTGATAGTTTTGCTGTTAGATATTCGTTTTCATTTACATTAAGTTTTGCGATAAATTAAATCATCATAGTAAAGCTAGTCTTACTCGGCTTGCCGAATTCGATAAAAGTTTTAATTCTTTATATCATAATAAATAACTTAGTTGTCAGTAAAGTACACATTACAACAACGCCATAGTTTGTAAAATCACAAAAATACATCATAAACATCATCTGCTTAGGCCCTTTTCTCTAAAGCACATGTCGATACTAGCAGTATATTGCTTTGGCGTTTAGCAAGCCATTATTTTAACACGTTCGTATATGTATACAGGCCAATAGGGGACCTTGCCTCCAAATTTATTTCGCTAGACAGAATATCTTAGGTATACCATAAATAAATCTTGGTATCGTATTTAGACCCCAAGTATATTATAATCGTTCGTTTCAGCCGAAAGACATCCACTGCTGGACAAAGGCCTCCCCCAAGGTTTTCCACAAAGACCGGTCATGCGCCGCCCGCATCCAGGCATCTACCACGACCTTCACCAGATCGTCGGTCCACCTAGTAGGAGACCTGCCCACACTAATTCTTCCGGCCCGTGGTCGCCGTGAGACTTTTCTGTCTCAGCGGCCATCAGCTCTACGAGCTATGTGCCCCGCCCACTGCAACTTGATTTTAGCGATTCTTCGGGCTATGTCAGCCACTTTGGTTCTCCTGTGTATAATGCAAGACTACACTCCCTAGCTTAGGGCTTCGATCGAATGCTCTGATTTGCTTATAGTATCAACCTATCGCCTGAACGGGAAAAGAGATAAAATAAAAAAAGATTATCTTCTAACAATGATGTACCTCAATCACAGGGACATAGCTTCCATATGCAATGTAGACATACGAGTGAAAGCCTTAAGTAGGGTCCCCTAAAGGCGCCTATTTAAATTAATTAGCAATTAATATGGTGAAACAATTTATATTGTAGATACAGAAATACATCGCTAACTAGGAACACACTTGGAGAATTTCAGCGAACGTGTTAAATATAATTTTATACATGTTTAGAATATTAACATGTGATTTCTATTTGCTTGAAAGGGCCTTGAGAGTTCCTAAAGCGAAAATGCTTCCTTACAGCTACAACAACACAAGCGCAAATTTTCATGTGTCAGTTTTTTTAAAGCATTCTTGAAAATGTATTTATGACGTCATTGTGTTAGAATTCTATTATCGTGGTGTCTCGTCTAGATTATATTCGTACATGTAATGTAGCGATAACACGTTATTTTGTTAAGTGAAACCACAAATAATATAAGTCGTCTACAGCAATGTATGTGCAGGAACACTTTTTGTTAGCTTCCTTTATTAAAATATTTTCTTGGCTTATCAAGGATGCAATGAGCACACCACGTAATAAAATTGTGCACGATACAACACTATAAAAGGGGCAATAATTGACTGAATTTAATGTACAGTTGATCATAACTATATCCAATGTGCTAGCTTTCTCGCAATTGCACTGCTTTTAAAAATGGAAAAGTGAGACCAGATCCTACTAAAGTTTGACCTCTGACTTTGAGGTTGAGGCTTTGACTTTGAGGCCTGTTTATTGTGTTGGTTCATTGTTACTTATACAAAGTGGTGTATGTATCGAGCTACCTATTTAATTATTAATTTTGCATATAATCCATTTTCGCATTCCGGGATCTCAGGCTTTTTCGTATCTGTAGGTAAGTCCTTCAAAAACTTGTTATTACACTCATCGATCGTGAAAATCTCGTGTCTCGATCGTGAATACCTGTCATTTGTAAATGTGCGCTTGCTGCTTCATGACGTGCATATTGAAACATTGGGGAATCCAATGACTTGCGTCGTACC